CATAAGAACATAAGAGAGGCCAATGTTGGATCAGGCCAATGGCCCATACAGTCCAACACTCTGTCACACAGTGGCCAAAAATACCAGGTGCCCTCAGGAGGTCCACCAGTGGGGCCAGGACATTAGAAGCCCTCCCACTGTTGACCCCCCCCCCAAGCACCAAGAAGACAGAGCATCACTTGCCCCAGAGTCCCTATCTATACCTTGTGGCTAATTCCGTGGTCATCTCGATTTCGTTCTGATAGCCAAACCAATTGCGAATGTCAGATCTCTGGAGAATATGAGACGTCAGAGATATGATGTTTCTTCCTGTAGATCTTTCCCCCCATTCTGTCATGTTTAATGGTTTGACAAAAGAAAGGATATGGTAAATTTAATTGGCATTTTTTAGTCCTGTATTATGGTTTGTTTTTAAATCAGCCAAGGGGTTCATAGGTTATATTTCTGAGTGAGCAGAAGGTATTTGAAGACAGGCAGCCTCCTACCTATCTTAACTACTAAGATTTTGGATAACACCATATCCCCGCTGAGCAGACCGTAATAGAGATTCAGTTTGAAGAGATCAGGGTATTCGACTAGGACTGATCCGAAGAATATTCGTCCTCTCTTAGCATAGCCTACCTCGCAGGGTTATGAGGAGGGGAGACCTGTGTTCAAGGACCTGACTCCGAAGAATGGTGGAATAACAGCACGCGGGACCTTCTGCACTTTGCCCTTTATATCAGACATTCCCAGAATGTTGATCTTAATTAAATGAACACATCGTTCAGTCCCGATGTTAGAGTTGGAACGTTTGGTGGTCCATCAGTTCTTGTCCCCCACAGAGTATTTGTTATAAGGTTCTCATTCTCTCTGCCTTCCTAAAAGTTTCCCCCCTTTGTGGATTTTGTCATAGTCGATGGGTGGTTTTTACGCGGGAGGTCCTTGGGGTAAAACTCCCGCCTCCGCACAGTTTGAGCCGAAGTCTACGTAAGAACGAATAGGCGACTTTCTCTCTTGTCCAAAAGGCAGGGCAGCGGACCAGCAGAAGGACAGAGGGCAGACAGAATGCAGCAGGGAGGGGAAGGATAGAAGACACGTAGTTGAAAGGGAGAGGGGAGAGGAGAGTGACTTTGAAGACGAGAAACTTGGAATCCCTGCAGGCCGTGACGATCCACATAAGGCTGGCCTGTTATTCTGGATGCGGCCCATGAGGCCTGCTTTGTAGACTGATCCAGCTGCTCAAAAGTGTGGAGAGCTCTGCAGGACCAGACCAGTGGTCCCTCTAGTCCAGCTCCTCTGGAGGGCCAACAACAGGGCAGAGAGGCTGAGGCCTTCATAAGAACATCAGAAGTGCCTTGCCGTATCAGACCAATAGGCCATCTAGTCCAGCCTCCTGTCTCACACAGTGGCCAACCAGTTCCCTGGAGGGCTGACAGCAGGGCACAGAGGCTGAGGCCTTCATAAGAACATCCGAAAAGCCCTGCTGGATCAAACCAATAGGCCATCTAGTCTGGCATCCTGTCTCACACAGCGGCCAACCAGTTCCTCTGGAGGGCCAAAAACAGGGCATAGAGGCTGAGGCCTTCATAATAACATCAGAAGAGCCTTGCCGTATCAGACCAATAGTCCATCTAGTCCAGCATCCCGTCTCACACAGCAGCCAACCAGTTCCTCTGGAGGTCCAACAACAGGGCAGAGAGGCCGAGGCCTTCATAAGAGCATCAGAAGAGCCCTGCTGGATCAGACCAGTGGTCCATCTAGTCCAGCATCCTGTCTCACACAGTGGCCAGCCAGTTCCTCTGGAGGTCCAGCAACAGGGCAGAGAGGCTGAGGCCTTCATAAGAACATCAGAAGAGCCCTGCTGGGTCAGACCAGTGGTCCATCCAGTCCAGCATCCTGTCTCACACAGTGGTCGGTCAGTTCCTCTGAAGGACGAGCAACAGGGCAGAGAGGCCGAGGCCTTCATGACGACGTCAGGAGAGACCTGCTGGATCAGACCAGTGATCTCTCTAGTCCAGCATTCTGTCTCCAGTGGTTCCTCTGGAGGGCCAACAACAGGGCCTAGAAACCAGGGCCTTCCCCTGGTGTTGCCTCCTGGCTCTGGGATTCAGAGGTTGACCTGCCTCTGAATGTGGAAGCTCCCTTTCATCTCCATGGCTAGTAGCCACTGCTTGGTATCTCTAACCCCACCCCACCCCCTTTTTTTGTTAGCAGTTACTGGCTTGCCGGATCCAGAGGCTTGTCTCCTGGTAGACTGCCATCCATGGCTTGGAGCTCTGTTCATTCACAGCCTGCGCAAGACCTTGCAAGGGTTGACACGCTCCCCGACCAAGCTCTCACAGGCGGTGCTCTGGATGTTCCCTCTGCCGCCGCGCAGGTGGAATGGATGCGCAGTTTGCCAGGGCAGCCTCTCGCTTCAGGGCCCTGACATCCCCCCCGTCCTTCCTTCTCACGTGGCTGCTTCCCCGCTTGGCACTGGGCCCTTCCCAAGGGCCTGGGAACTTGTCCGGCTGTGGGTAACTCCTGTCTCTCTCTCTCTTTCTCTCTCTCCCCCTTCTCTCCTTGTGCGCGCGTGCGTGTGTGTGTGTTCGCTAACAGGGAGGATTCAGGTCTCTTCAGGTAAAAAGCCTTTTCTATCACCCTACTCAGGTTGGGAAACGGGAGGGGTCCTGCCACGAGTGGTGTCTGTCGCGCGCCAATCTGTGGCTGGCCGCGCAGTGCAAACCGCCGCCGCGCAAGCTGTGGAGATCCGCAGGGGCATCTGCCACAGTGTTGTCCTTTTCGGCCCCGGTTAGGAAAGGGTGTCGTGTCAACACTGTGGTACACTTTTCCCGTTGCATCCTGGGAAAGGGGCGGGAGAACTCCAGCGAGCTCCGCCTCTTCCTGGTCCAGCTTTCCCTTCCAATCCTTACCCAACAGTGTACGTTCTGTCCCGTCTCAGAATTCCTTTTTTTGTTCTGATCACGCTTTTCCCCTCACCCCCCCTTCCCCGTACATGACACTGTGGTGCATCCTGGGACACGGGGGTGGCTGCTGGTCTGCTTCACTGGTGGGTGATTTAGGGATGCCAGCCTCCGGGGGGCAGGGGACCCCCCAGAATGACAGCTTGTCTCCAGACTACGGGGATCAGTTCCCCTAGAGAAAGTGGATGCCTTGAAGGATGCACTTTACACGTTTTACGTAAGCCAACCCGAGCCGGCTCCGGCTCGGAGGGTGGGGTTGAAATCCAGCAGATAAATAAATGGAATTGCACCCCCCTTAGTTCAGTTTGTATCCCGCCCTCCCTGCCGAAGCGGGCTCAAGGCGGCTCACCTTAAAAAGTTGAAATATATTAAAACACAGATGTGTTAACACAATACAACATCGTGAAAACTCTTAAACGTAACAAGTCACAGATACAGGTGAAGTGCTGGTGGCGTTAGCGTCCCAATAGGCCATGATAACAAAGTTAGGGCCAAAGTCAATGTCCGCAGTATAGCACAGGCTGTCGATACTGACATAGAGGGCCTTGACAATTCAGTTGCTGTTAGTAGCAGCTCCTAATCGAGGCCTGGCAGAAGAGCTCCCTTTTACAGGCCCCGCGGAACTGTACGAGGTCCCGCAGGGCCCTGCTGTCTTCTGGGAGCGCGTTCCACCAGTGTGGAGCCGCCACTGAGAAGGATCTGGCCGAGGCCAGTCTGGCGTCTTTTGGTCCAGGGAAAGGTCCGAGGTCCCTGTCCTTCCCAGGTTCCATCCCCAAATCTCTTGAAGTTTCCCAACCTGAATCTGGCAACCCTACCCACATTCCCTGTTGGTGGCTGGAGGCGGGGGAGGGGAGCGTCTGTGGCAACCCTGTGGTGATGGGGCATTTGGGCTGGAACCGTCCAGCATGGTGGATCCCTGCGGAATGCCGCCGAAGACTCACTAGTCTCGTGTGCGGAAGGAAGAGACAGTTAAGACCGGCTTGTCGTCACTTAATTCCGATGGGTTAGGCACCCCGGTTCTTGTTCTGTAGAAGGTACTTGGGTAAGGGGGAAGGAAAACGTGGGCTCAGGTTATTACCCGACAGGAGTCAAAAAGTGGAGGCCCTAGGCAGTGTTCCCTCTAAGCTGAGTTAGTGTGAGCCAGCTCACAGTTTCTTAGCCTCTGGCTCACACATTTTTGTTTCATCTCAGGAAAGAGGGCTCCAGAGCAAGCTAATTCATGCAGTAGCCCAATCGCTCGCCCACAACTTCAATGCCAGCAGCTCACAAAGTAGAATTTTTGCTCACAAGACTCCACAGCTTAGAGGGAACATTAGCCCCGGGTTAGACTTGCCCGTCTCCTTCTCCCACTCCCCAACCTGTCGAGGCGAAAGAGGTGCGGGGGAAAGAGACTTCCACGGCGACAGAATTCGGGGCGGGCAGCTGTGTTTCGAGGCCGCGGTTCAAGCCACGTGCCTTCAGCCACGTCTCTTGCGTCTCGAAGCCGCCCTATCGGGAAGGAAGTCGCTCCTCCGGCAGTGGGGCATTCGCGTTGATACCATCCCCTTACCGACTCTTCCACACACCGGGTTTTTCTCTGCAGCTTTGTGGGCTAGAAGCACCCCTTTTGAAAGCGAGGTTTGGCTCGTTGGCGGGTTCAGCCGCATCGGTCTCCATACTGTGTGTAGCCGCTCAGTGCTTTTGGTTTAATCCCCCACTCCTCCACGTGCAGCCAGCTGGGTGAGCTTGGGCCAATCACAAGTTCTCTCAGCGCTCACTCAGCCCCACCGACCTCACAGGGTGTCTGTTGCGGGGAGGGGAAGGGAAAGAAGGGTGTAGGCCGCTCTGAGACGCTGAGTGAAGGGCGGGGTATCAATCCAGTCTGCTGTTCTTCTTTCCGGCCCATGTGGGCTTCCGTATTCACGCGCGCGCACCCCAGACGGACACGGGACACGGTTGGGTCCTGGGACGCAGCAAGCAGGGCTGGCAAGAGGGGGCAGTGTTTTTTTTCAGGGGGGGCTCCGCCGGCCAGGCCTCGCTAACCAAGCCCGCCCCTCTCTCCTTTCTCTCTTGAAGCATTTCTACCAGAGCAGGGCCCAGCCTCCGACCAGTGCTTCCCGAGTGCAGAGTAACACGTCGGCTCGGCCCGGCCCGCCCACTCATGTCTATCCAGCCGCTTCCCAGGTGATGATGATCCCCTCACAGATCTCCTACCCTGCTTCGCAAGGCGCCTACTACATCCCCGGACAGGTGAGGGCTGGGACGGGGGGCGGCGGCGGCGGCACAGGTCTGCTCCACGGAGGACGAGCGGGGAGAGCCGCTTGCGCCTCCCCCAAGCTGGCCGCGCGGCCCGGAAGCCGGCCCCGGCGTGCTTTCCCGTGGGGGGGGGGGGCAGGCTTCAGACTCGCTCTGGTTCCTGGTGCCATCACCGCAACCGCGCACCTGTTAGCAGTGACGCCCTCGCTCTGGCCGCACCTGTCTTCTGTGGTTCTCTATGGGCACTGCCATCCTTGTCGGCACTGGGTGGTCACGGCGCTTGTGTGTTGTTTTTTGTATGCTGCTTACGCATGCGCACGCAAATAATTCCGGCTAAGTGACCTTGGATTGGCCAGCCACTGGGAGCAGTGGAGAAAACGTGCCAAGTGCCAGCAAGGGGCGGAAACGGAGGTTTAGTAGTTCTGGTGTGGTTCACGAGGAGCAGAAGCTTAGCCCGTCGCTTCTGGGGCTTCGGAGGCCCACAGAACTTTGTTTCGAATCCCCAGTTCGTGGAACGCTTGTTTGCTTGAGAGCCAGTTGGGTGTCGTGGTTAGGAGGGCGGACTCTAATCTGGGAGGAACTGGGTTGGATCCCACACTCCTCCTCCACATGCAGCTGCTGGTGTGACTTTGGGTCAGTCACAAGTTCTCTCAAGAGCAGTCCTCGAAAGAGCTCTCTGAGCCCCACCTACCTCACAGGGTATCTGTTGTGGGGAGAGGAAAGGAAAGGAGATTGTAAACTGCTCTGAGACTCCTTCGGGTAGTGAAGGGCAGGGTATAAATCCAATCTTTTGTCACCCTAAGGGATCAGAGTGGGTAACGGAAAATTGGATCATTCTGCCCTCCCCCCCAAAATCCATCTGATTCCATTTTGGGAAGATGCCAAGGCTTGGGGCCAGACTTCCAGAAATTAGGAGCAGCCATCGTGAACACAACCTCTCTGCATCTGCGTGGATCTGATTTGGTGCACGGCTGGTGTATTGGAGAACATGTCCCTGGTTGATCATAAAGGCTGGGGTGGAGCATTAGGTGGAGGAGGGTTTTTGGCATGCTGGGTCCAGGCCATTTAATAATGAGTCAGCTCCATGCTTTTGAATCAGAGTATCATAGAGTTGGAAGGGATCTCCAGGGTCATCTAGTCCAACCCCCCCTGCACAATGCAGGGAATTCACAAATACATCCCCCTCCACACACACCCTAGTGACCCCTGTTCCACGCCCAGAAGATGACCAAAAACCCTCCAGGATCCCTGGTCAAACAGGCCTGGAGAAAAATGCTTCCTCTCCAAAGTGGTGATCAGCATTTCCCTGGGTGTGTAAGAAAGGGCCACACTAAGCACTGAGGCAACCCTTCCTGCCCTCCCTTCTCATGATCTGCCTGAGTTCCCAGAATCAGCACTGCTGTCAGATGGCCATCCGGCCTCTGCTTAAGAACCTCCAAAGGAGGAGAGCCCACCACCGATGTTCCCTCTAAGCTCTGGAGTCCTGTGAGCAAAAATTCCACTTTGCGAGCTACTGGCATTCAAGTTGTGAGGGAGCGATTTGGCTGCTGCAAAAATCAGTTTGCTCTGGGGCCGTCCTTCCTGAGCTAAGGCAAAACTGTGTGAGCCAGAGACTAAGGAACTGTGAGCTGGCTCACACGGACTCAGCTTAGAGGGAACACTGCCCACCCCCTCCCGGGAAGCCCGTTCCCCCAAGGAACTGCTCCAACTGTCAGGAAGCTCTCCCTAAAGTTTATCTGAATCCTGTTTCGATTGAAGCATTTTGCACTGCTCTGTGATGCCTGTTCTCCTATTTGCCTTTTCCCGGAGTAATTGAGTCTCTCTCCCCTTCCTGGCTCCCGTAGCTGGTCAAAAGGCAGAACCAGGCCACCCTGCTGGCGCACTTACGATCCTATCTAGTCGCCGGTGAATCGGTGTGGGGTACACGACTTCCCCAGAAAGTCACTTCTCAGCGTCCGCTTCCTGGCCTCTGCTCCCGGAGCTTCATGCTCATTCACCTCGCCGTGTAACGTCATCTCTTGTGATACTGGGAAGGAGTCCCGCCGTATGTCCTGTCTTTCTCCAAAGGCGGGCTCCTGAAAGCCTCCCTGCAAAAACGCCTTCCTCAAATAGACAGGAAGTCTCACAGTGCCCCAAAAGCTTGAAACTCACGAGTTTTCCCAAGTCAGCAGTGGGGAGGTGGAAGGTCATCTCCAGACTTTAAGCTGATACGCTGACGTAGCTGACAGAACTCATTAAGAAGATCACTGGTCTAATCCAACAGAGAAACATGGAGCTGGATGGGGGTCATCTATTACAACCCGGTGCACAATGCAGGAAATTCACACCTAGCCAGTTTGGTGTAGTGGTTAAGTGCGCAGACTCTAATCTGGGAGAACCGGGTTTGATTCCCCACTCCTCCACTTGCACCTGCTGATGTGACCTTGGGTCAGTCACAAGCTCTGGCACAGCTGTCCTTGAAAAAGAGCAGTTTGTGTCAGAGTTCTCTCAGCCCCACCTACCTCACAAGGGTGTCTGTTGTGGGGAGGGGAAGGGAAAGGAGTTTGTAAGCCGCTCTGAGACTCCCAAGTGAAGGGCGTGGTATAAATCCAATCGCCTCCTCCTCCTTGACTCATCCATCTAGGTCCAGCACGGTAACCAAAAAAGTTGGAACACAGAAAAAGAAAAGAAATGCAACTATGCACATACAACAAATGTAAAAAAAAAACCCGTGTGTCAGGAATATAATCAGAAGTGATAAAATATAATTTAAAAACAACAATCCTGTGGTTCAGCATATAAGTACCTTTTTTTAAAAAAACCAATTTATTAGGATATATCAATATTTCAAACATACATCACATTATTAACTACCATACATCCTTTTCTTCTAACCCCACCCCTTTTGACTTCCCACAGTGCTCCAACCTCCAGCCTGCATCTTATATTCTCCTCCTTTTCCCCCTTACTCGTTAGTCAATTTCTACAGGTAACATATCTTTCACCTATTACTCTTATACATTTACACCTCTCCTAATGTCATTCTTTTTTCAATAGTTCTCAAAGCAAAGTAAGTTGTTTTTTACATCCCAGTATTTCTCTAGATATTCTTTAAAGTCTTTCCAATCTGCAAAGAATTCTTCTGCTTCCAGATTTTTAAGTTTTCTTGTCATTTTGTCCATTTCAGCCATAAAAAGTAGTTTTTTTATCCACTCCCCAATTTCGGAGTCTTTTCCTGCTTCCAGCATTGAGCATATGTCATTCTAGCAGTTGTAAGCATTTAAGTACCTAATCGCAGTATAAAGACAGACATAAATATGGGTTTAAAAGCACATATTGTTTCCATATGGAAGAACCGATACCAAACGTGCTTTGGCACCTGGTCTCCTGCAGTGGTATAAGTCAAACTGAGAAGTCCGTTAATTTAACAAGAACATTCAGAAAACTGACCATACCCAGAATGGATCTTCTCAGGTCCAATCAGAAACTCTCAAAGCTCCAATGGAGTGCTCAGATACAACTGGAAAAGAATCAGTATCACAGGAGGAATTGATACCATTTACTTCACAGGGGAACATTTTGGTGTACGGTCCATTCTGTGTACGGTCAGTTTTCTGAATGTTCTTGTTAAATTAATGGGCTTCTCAGTTTGACTTATATCACTGCGGGAGGCCATGTGCCAAAAAGCATTTGGTATTGATTCTTCCATATGGAGACAATATGTGTGCTTAAACCTGTATTTATGTAAATGGACTATATTGGGATTAGGTATTTATATGCTGAACCACAGGATTGTTTTTAAATTATATTTTATCACTTCTGATGACATTATTAAATAATACATGGATTTGTACTACATGCACAGGTGTACTATATGCACAGGAGAGCCAGTTTGGTGTAGTGGTTAAGTGTGCGGACTCTAATCTTGGAGAACTGGGTTTGATTCCCCACTCCTCCACTTGCACCTGGCTGGATGACCTTGGGCAAGCCGTAGTTCTGATAAGAGCTGTCCTTGAAAAAAGAGCAGTTTCTCTCAGAGCTCTCTCAGCCCCACCTACCTCACAGGGTGTCTGTTGTGGGGAGGGGAAGGGAAAGGAGTTTGTAAGCCACTCTGAGACTCCTTTGGGTAGTGAAGGACAAGGTATAAATCCAATCTCCTCCTCCTCCTCTTCTTTCTTTTTCCTTGTTGCAACATTTTTGGTTACCTTTCTCGTGATGGGTTGTGTTTTTCTCCCCTTTTTTGGTTGTACTCATCTAGTCCAGCATACTGGTCTCACAAAGTGGCCAACCACTTCCTCTAGAGGGCCAACAACAGGGCACAGAGGCTGAGGCCTTCATCAGAAGAACTCACTGGATCAGACTAGTGGTCCATCTGGTCCAGCATCCTGTCTCACACAGTGGCCAATCAGTTCCTCTGGAGGGCCAACAACAGGGCGTAGAGGTTGAAGCTTTCCCCTGATGTTGCCTCCTGGCAGTGGGATTCAGAGATTGACTGCCTCTGAACATGGAGGTTCTCTGTGAATCTCCCTAATCCCCATTTACAGGAACATCAGAAGAGTCCTGTTGGATCAGACCAGTGGTCCATCGATTCCAGCATCCTATTTCCCACAGTGGCCAACCAGTTCCTCCCAACATCCAACCACAGGGCAGAGAGTCCGAGGCCTTCATAAGAACATAAGAAGAGCCGTGCTGGATCAGACCAGTTGTCCCTCTAGTCTTCAGCGTCGCTTATCTTATTGTTCAGAGGGTGCGGCTCAGAGCTGTTTGTACCCGACGCATGAGTCAGTGGCTGAACAATACTTTTTGGGGGGCCAGTTCAGATGGATACCAAGAAAAAAAGGGGGCGTCACGTACAGGAGAAGCCGCAGGCGCTTACACTCTGGGGAGAGGTTGTCTTCGCTTTACGAGCAGCAGCTGAAGGTCTTAGGAGCTCCATGCGCTCGGCATGGTTTTAATTGAGCAGTTTCTGACATTAGGCATCCTCGTCATGCGCTGGTTGCACCCCTGCTTGCGCTGCGCTCCAGCGGGGGATTGTCACCACAGTTGCCACCCAAGTTACCTTGAGGCTTTGTGTCCCCGGGATCTTCAGGTATGCTAACCCGCCGCCATTTTCCTTTCTCTTCTCTCCCAACCCAGGGCCGATCTACGTACGTCGTTCCGACTCAACAGTACCCTGTTCAGCCGGGCGCCCCCAGTTATTACCCTGGAGCCAGCCCCACGGAATTTGGTACCTACGGTAAGATCGCGTATTACATATCTGGAAGAATGTATCTCAGGTCATTGACAGATGCGAGAGATTTGGCGGTGCATTAGAACGGATAAAAGGAAGTACTTCTTCACCCAAAGAGTGATTAACACCTGGAATTCACTGCCACAGGAAGTGGTGGTGGCTACAAGCATGGACGGCTTCAAAAGGGAATCAGATAAGCATATGGAGCAGAGGTCCATCAGTGGCTATTAGCCACAAGGTATAGATAGGGGCTCGGGCAAGTGATTCTCTGTCTTCTTGGTGCTTGGGGGGGGGTCAACAGTGGGAGGGCTTCTAATGTTCTGCCCCCACTGGTGGACCTCCTGATGGCACCTGGTATTTCTGGCCACTGTGTGACACAGTGTTGGACTGGATGGGCCTTTGGCCTGATCCAACATTGGCGTCTCTTATGTTCTCTTATGTTCTTATATCTATGGGCTGGCCCTGGCCTGGATTGCTCAGTCATATCAGTCCTCCAAAGCTAAGCAAGGGTCAGCCACAGTTGATACTTGGATGGGAGACTACCGAGCTAAGTCCAGAGTCGCTACGTAGAGGCAGGCAATGGCGAAACCACTTCTGAACATCTCTCACTTTGAGAACCGGTGAGCTAGCTCACATTTACTCAGCTGAGAAGGAACACTGGCTCAGACTAGCCAGATCTCATCAGATCTTGGAAGTTTAAGCAGGGTTAGTACTTGGGTGGAGACCACCAAGGGTTGCTACGCAGAGGCAGGCAATGGCAAAACCATTTCTGTTCATCTCTTGCCTTGAAAACCCTATGGGTCTTGGAAGCTAAGCAGGGTCATCCAGGAGCTCATTCCACCAGTGCGGGGTCGCCACAGAAAAGGCCCTGGCCCTCGTCACCGCTAGCCTGGCTTCTTCAGGGCCTGGAAGGGCCAGACAGTTTTGGGACCCCGATCTTAGTGCTCTCTGGGGGACATGTGGGGAAAGGCGGTCCCTCAGGTAAGTAGATCCCTGACCATATAGGGTTTTAAAGGTAATAACCGGCACAACAAACAAGGCATACTTTGGAGCAGGAGGGAGGGAATGATCTGGGAAGGGAGACCGGTGAGCCAGTTTGGTGTAGTGGTTAAGTACGCAGACTCTAATCTGGGAGAACCGGGTTTGATTCCCCACTCCTCCACTTGCAGCTGCTGGATGACTTTGGGCAAGCCGTAGTTCTGGCAAGAGCTGTCCTTGACTGAGCAGTTCTCTCAGAGCTTCTCTCAGCCCCACCCACCTCACAGGGTGTCTGTGGTGGGGAGGGGAAGGGAAAAGAGTTCATAAGCCACTCTGAGATGCCAAGTGAAAGTGGGGTATAAATCCAATCTCTCCTTCTTCTCTTCTATTAAGTCTATCAATGGTCCCAAGCAGTGTTCCCTCTAAGCTGAGTGAGTGGGAGCTAGCTCGCAGTTTTTAGCCTCTGGCTCTCACACTTTTGTCTTTGCTCAGGAAGGATGGCTCCAGAGCAAACTAATTTATGCAGAAGCCAAATCAGTCACTCACAACTCCAATGCCAGTAGCTCCCAAAGTAGAATGTTTGCTCACAAGGCTCCACAGTTTGGTGTCGTGGTGAAGTGCCCGGACTCTAACCTGGGAGAACCGGGTTTGATTCCCCACTCCTCCACTCGCACCTGGCTGGATGACCTTGGGCAAAAGCCGTAGCTCTGGCACAGCTGTCCTTGAAAAAAGATCAGTTTCTGTCAAGAGCTCTCTCAGCCCCACCTGACTCACAGGGTGTCTGTTGTGGGGAGGGGAAGGGAAAGGAGTTCGTAAGCCGCTCCGAGACACCTCTGGGTAGTGAAGGGCAGGGTATGAATCCATTCTCTTCTCTCTTCTTCTACATTAATGAGTGGCACAAAATATAGGTCCCCGGTTGTGATGAGCCTGTAATTGGTTGGCGCTTCTCCGAGCGTTGTTATTTAAATCACGTCTAGGTACATCACCCTGGATGGCTCAGGCCTGCCTGATCTCATCGGAGCTTGCAAGCCAAGCAGGGTCGGCCCCAGTTCGCCGTCGGACGGGAGGCAACCCATGAAGTCCAGGGTTGCTACCCAGAGCCAGGCGCTGGCAAAACTGCCTCCCTTTGCGGCCCGCCGATACCGTTCCCGTTGTCCACCAAGTGCTTTCAGAAAGTAGGAGGGGCTTTTGTCCGGCAGGGCTTCTGATTGGCTGTGTGGATTAGAAATTATTCTGTTGATTAGAGCTTCTGCCCGAAATGTGGAGTTTTACTGTTAAAAGTTTACGCGTCACCCAACGCCCTGACGTTTTGTGGTTCTCCCGTGGCAGCCATTTTATGATTGGCCCCACCTTCCTGTGGAAGCCATATTGTGATTATGCCCAGTGTCCTGTGTCAGAAACCCAAAGGCGCTTGCAGAATGAAAAAGGGTGTGGGACCCGTGAGGTAGTAGGCGATGTGAAAGGACTCTCTCTGGGACCCTGGAGAGCCGCTGCCGGTCTCAGTAGGGGGGTGTAATGCACATTGCTCCCTGATCTTCCAACTTAGTAAAAACGAAAACCTTTTCAGTCAAAAATACACCCCTCTGCTTGCAGTATGAAGTCTTGGTAGATCCATGGAGGATAAGTCTATCAATGGCTAGTAGCCATGGCGACTGAGGGGAACCTCCACATTCAGAGGCACTAATCCTCTTAATCCCAGAGCCAGGAGGTAACATCAGGGGAAGGCCTCGGCCTCTCTGCTCCTGGGCATCCAGAGGAACTGGCTGACCACTGTGTGAGACCAGAGGCTGGACTGGATGGTCTGATCCAGCAGGGCTTTTCTGATGTTCTTATGAAGGCCTCGGCCTCTCTGCCCTGTTGTAGGCCCTCCAGAGGAACTGATTGGCCACTGTGTGAGACAGGAGGCTGGACTAGGTGGACCCTCACTGGCCTGACCCAGCAGGGCTCTTCTTATGGTGCTGGGAAGTGCCATTAATTCACAGCTGACTTATGGCGACCCTGTAGGGTCTCACAGGGCAAGAGACATTCAGAGGTGGTTTGCCATTGCTTGCCTCCGTGTCCTGACCCTGGTATCCTTGGTGGTCTCCCATCCAAATGCTAGCCAGCACTGACCCTGCTTAGCTTCCAAGATTGGGTTTACCTGGGCCATCCAGGCCAGGGCAGTAAGGCCAAATAGTCCTGAGGTTCAGTCACCTTATTCTGTGCCAGGTGTACAACTGGGTGTAACGGTCCATATATATCTGCATGGGACCATATAGACCTGCATCTGCTTACCTCCTGTAGTCAAATGTAAAGGATATCCGTTTCCAGCTCCTTTTCTTTTTCTTTTTTTTGGCCCCCCAGAGGGGATTTTTTTATTACATTTTTATAAAGACTACAAACTACAACAGAAATAGGGAAGGGGACTACATTAAGGGATAAAGAAAAGATACCCACTACTATCTAAAAACCCAAGAGAGGAGATCATCTAGCTAGCTTAGCACACGTTATCTCTCAATCACGCTAATCCCATTATGAACTGATTCAACTATAGTATTATCTTTTTCATATCTTAACTATCACTGTTAACCCCAAAGACCCCTAAGCAACTAGTATAAAAAAAAAAGTTTTTCAAAGGCACAATTCAGAGTCCTTCAGCCTTCATTTCCCCTTGCCCCAGTCTCTTCCGCAGTTTATAAGGAGTTTTAGGGGCGGCTGCCGCTTTCTCTGATAGAGAGTCCTCTCTGGAAGACCCCGAGTCCAGCTTGCCGCTGGACTTACTGTCCATCCCTTCTTTTTCTTCCTCCTCTGGCTCTCCCATCTGGACTCTCAAAAATTTCCGTGCTTTCTGAACAGAGTCAATCTTTTCCTTTTTATCCTTGATTTTGAAGATCACGCCTTCTGGTGTTAGCCATCTGTATCTAATTGTGTTTGTCTGGAGAAAAAGAATTAAATCTTTGTACTTCTTTCTCCTTTGTCTTATTTCAAATGGAATGTTTTTTTAGGATTCTGATAGCATTATCTCCAACTTTTAAAGGAGCTCCAGATGCCGCTTTCAAGATTGCATCCCTCACACATCTCTTCGAGAATCTTATCACTATTTGCCTGTTTTCCTTTATAAATCCTAAATATGACCTGTAGGCCACATCCATATCGCTCAGCAAAGATTCCGCCTTCATCTCTGTCATTGGGGCCAATAATTCACTCATCTTCTCCTTCAGATTCTCTCCTTTAGTCTCTGGAAGGCCCTGAAAGCGAAGAATCAAATTAGCTTTTTCCATTTGTAGTTGTAACACCTGATCTTCCGTGGAGATTTGCTTCTTTTCCAGCTTTTGTACTTTCTTCTTCACCTTTTGTGCAGCGGCGTCCACTTCTTTCACCTTCTCAGCTGTTTGATTCATCATTTTAAGTGTCTCACTCAACTGTGTTTGCTGGGTAATGATACATTGATTCATTGTTGACAACTGCTGCTTGAGATTATTCATCTAGTCCAGCAGAGGATGCATGGATTCCGCCAATGTCTTTGCCAGCTCACTGGTTGCTTCCGGTCTTGGGCTCTCAGTCCCTTTTGCTTTTAAAAGTTTCTCTTTCTCCGTCCTCTTCCCCGCCATCTTTGTGGATTGTTTACTTTAACCGATATTTTAAAAGTCTCTGAACATGTGCTTGTATGCTCAAACTTGGTAAGTCTTCCTTAACAGTCTTATTCGTTTTTTCGTTTGGGAGGCGTCCCTCCCCTGCTCGCCTCACTTTCTGTTCCATGGGAGGTTTGGGGAGCTTTCTTTTCCTTTTATTTAAATGCTTAGATTGAACTCACGTTCATAGTTGGTCCTCAGACCTTGTTTAAGCTCTGTTTCTTTCGTTCGACCTCCTGCGTCGCTTGGTTCCATTTGGTCTCATAGCACGAAGAACCTTCGGGACGGAGAGGCGCCTCAATTCCCCGGCATCGCACCGGCGAAGAGGCAACCCCTCGAGAGTCCCATGGCCAGAGCCCCTTCAGCCAGGTCACTTGGGGGGGGTCGATCTTGCGCACCCCCTCTTTCGGCCAGAGC